CTGAATATACCTAAGCCTTATTAATTATTAAAAGTCAAATTTGAAGTAGCTTAAACTTAAGTTAAAAAAAAAAAATTATTTCAAGAACATCTCAAAGATCAAAGAAACTAGACTAAGTTTAATTTCCTCAAAAATCTAACATTCATAGATTTCTTAAATATATTTTTATAACTTCTCCATCTTACCTTCAAAACCCCAAAAAAAAGGAAAACTCCAAGTTGATTGGCTTACATCAGGAAAAAAAAAATCCCAGAAAATGTGAAAATAAATATTGGCCTTTCTCTACCCACACGAATTTCGGTCTCAGCCCTCAACCCACAGCCATTTCATAAAAAAATATTCCAACCTAATGGCTTGCAATTGATTTTGACTTATTACAATCTGTCAATATTTGATGTAGATATGTAATACGATTCAGAGACGTCTTAATACACTAAACAATTTCACGAGCGATTGGAGGCGAATGACTTTTGCATAGGCTAAGTCAGGCGGACTTGCGGCTTAGCCGAGTTTATCGCAGCTCAGTTAGCATAAGTTCGATTTAGTTCGATTTCTTTTCTGGCTCTGACGTAAGTCAAGACGTAAGTCAGAGTGCGGAAAGGGTTTCTGCTTTTTTTCCCCTTTGCGGCTCAATTGACAGTTGACGGAAAGCCAGAAAGGCAGAAAGGACTTCTCTTTCCCCCTTTTAAGCCCTACCAAAAACAGGTCCTTTGTCTATTTGCTGCTGAAGTGAGCGCACGTGTTAAGTGGCAATCAATTGACAATTCCTGTCCTGTAATTGCCACACTTTCGGTGTGTCACTCGAAATATCTGTTACCATTTCACTCGGCTCCCTTGCCAATCCAGCCTTTGTTTCCTACTTTTTTTTTGGTCTCGGCCTCAATCATAAGCAAAAATCTGTGGTGCTCGAAGCACAAAGGAAAATGGAAAACCAAAGAGAAAGAGAGAGAGAGGTTTGAAAGTTGAAATGAAAATCCAAAAGGAAAATGGATGGATTCAAGGCTGCCAATGATGTTGGAGAGCCTCACTTAAGGATGCTTAAATTCAAAATTTAACTATTTAAAAAGTTTTACCCAAGAAATTAAGAATCTGTTATGTAGAAAATAATTTTAATTACCTCATTAAATGGATTTCAACTTTAAAAGCAAATTCCAAAAATGTCGCCCAACAAATTTAAGCAATTTTATGCAGAGTACAGAGTACAGAGTACAGTGCCTCTTCAATAAGTCAGGCTAATCTAATCTGTTGTGCAAGTGGCCAAGACCAAATGGCGGCTGAAATTAAGGGCTGGAACCAAGTCGTCCCCCAGCTCATATATCAAAATCCAAGAGCCATGAAGCGCCAGCCACAACATCAGCATCAGCATCATAACTCAAACTGAGAATCTGAGACTCTGAGATTTCCAAATCTTTTGGGTATAGGACCGAAAAACCGATTACCGCTAAAGAAATAAAAATATAAAGAAAAAAGAAAAAACAGAAACGGGAAAAATGGGCTGAATCGTTGAAAATTCGATGACAATTAATTACAGTTACGAGCAGGGCGTGAAAATGGCCAAAAGAAGAGACGACAAGGCGGTAAGATGAAGAATCGCTGGCGAAAATAAGGCGGCATAAATAAGCGTCAGCAAATTATAAATTAATTCAAACGCATTTAATGAAGAAAAACACCAAAGCAAACAGAAGGCCAAGAAACACTGAAAAAAATAGGTGGGAAAGTTAAGTTCAATTTTAGGTAGTTAAATCTATCTACTAATTATTAATAATTTTATTAAATAAAAAAAGAAAGATCTTATAAAAAATTAAAGTGTTAAATCAGAAAAAGTAGCAAAAATTTAGTTAAAAATTCAAAATAAATAGAAAAATCCTTCAAGGAATTTTAATCTCAATGAAAATCCAATTAGTATCTTATCTTAACTACAGTTTTTCTTTCAGTGCCTTAGGCAGAAGGACATGCCAAATGCAAATTCCGACCAAAACTAAACAACGGACCGAAGACCGTTCCAAGGACGTAGGACGACGGTGTCGGGGGTGGGGCGTAAACAGCGTACACAGCGCACAGAGCGCACAACTCAGTCAGACGTTTGAATTAAATAAATGAAATACATAAATAAAAACAGATGAGCTGTTGCCGTCGCTGCCGCAAAAGTTGGCCAAAAGGGAAACGACCAAAATAAACAGCGGGCGACGATGAAGATAGAGAGAGAGAGAGAGAGATGGCGGTGTAACCAGTCGCCAGCGAATGACCTGCCTCCAGGGTTCGATTAAGAGTTACCCTGCAGGAATCAAGCAGCCGAAACGACCTCTGACCCGGGTCCTTAACTGTTTGTCCCATTTAGAAGGTCAGCAAAGCAATTGCTAAAAGAAAGAAAGTTAAGATTAGTTGAAAAAAACTTCTTCTTGGCTTCAATTGACTTTCCTTCGATATTAGAAACTTTATTTTTCAGATTTTAAATTTAATTTTATTTAATTTGTAGTTTAAGTTAAGAGCCTAAACTAACCTGTTACACATACACATCAAATTACCAAAAATAAAAACCAAAACGAAGGATGGACCAGTTGAGAAAGGAGGTAATACAAGCCCAGCAATTAATCAGGGAAATTGCAGGCGAAATATAATAAGAAATGAGCCGCCAGTCGAGGCTTTAAAAAGTCAAACCACAGACACACACTGAATGTTGCTGCTTTATTCCAAGCTTTTACTTTTCGGAAAAGTGTCGAGAATGGGGCCTTATTAAACCAGGAAAAGTATTTAAGAATACGTAAAATTAAAAGAATTTAAGCTGTGAAAGTATAAACTTAACTTTAAAATCTTTAAAAGAAATTATTAAATGAGAAAAATTTTTAAAATATTTTTTAGACATTTTCCACATGTCTACCATCAAAACTCTTCAGGAAACTTATCTTTGATTTATCTTCTTAACTGTCCAACCATTTTCATCTAAATTCATTTCCCAACGCAAATAAACAAAAAGATTTCCCAATTTCATATATCAAAAGCCCAAAGCAATCGAATTGGAAGCGATAATGAAAACCCAGCAATTGTAGCGTTATTTTGTGTATTTGTTTCTACAGTGAAAACTCTTTAAATGAACTACTAAAAAAAGAAAATATCAAAGCAATACTTAACCTTGATCCCACTAGACCTTGTATTTAAACTAAAAATCTTAAAAAAATTTAAGTACATACCCAAACTACATGTTCTTCATTACCAGTCCTTACTGCACCTTTATCTTTTATAGTATAACTACAGCTGCGGCTGTAACTCCTGTGTGATATCTGCATTCGTGTGGTCGTAAATCGTTTTTGCTCTTTGGATCCGCCTCCTCGCCGCTCAACGCCTGGGATTTATGATACGAAATGCGAAAATCTCTGTTCCATCTGCCAACTCCAACCTCCCCTATTCCCCATACCCTTTAACTGCCACGCCCCCTCCACCACAGTTGCCGCCATATTTGTCAGTTGGAAAATGGCTGGTAGATGGCAAAGTCTAACGCTTTTTACGGCTGTCACTTTCTGTTTTGCCTGTTACTTTTCAACACATTTTTGACAAAGTCAGCAGAACGATGGACAATGGATGAGGGTTGAGGGAAAGTCGGAAAAGCGAACGAAATATTTCCCTGAAGCACTCACTCTATATATATATGTTTGTTGTATGTGTTTCAAGTTGAACGCCTTTTGCGTTTGGCCATTTCCTTTCGACTCGCCGCTTTTCCCATTTCCATTTACATTTTCCAGCCAAATGGCTGAAAACTCAACTCGAATTGTTGTTAAATACTTTTTGGGCTTAATTGCATAGAACACAGAACAGAAAGGGTTAAGGCCCATTGAATACCCTTTAAATTTCTGTATTTCTGTTTAAGAAACTTTTGATTTTAAAACATTTCCTAAGGCATTTCCCTTGTTCTTTTAATTTTTAAAGCTTAATTTTATCTAATTTTAGTTTAGTCTTTTAACTCATTTCTTTAATGATGGAGTCTCCCATGATACCCTGTCGCTATAGGGTATGATAAAAACGAAATTGAATAGCGAACATTAATCAAGTTTTACTTGGCCCGAAATTGCTGAAACGGCTGCCCGCCTGCAATTTGCTCGCCCGGAGTCCTGCTCTTCGATCCGTAAAGGAAACAAACCGCCTGCCACCACGCCTACCACACGCCCCTCACAATCTGCTGCCCCCGGGCCGGAAGACTCAGTCAGGTGAAAAGGCAAGGCAGCAACCGTCTGGACAAATGTTTGTGGCCAGGCCATTAAGTGCTGCACTGCAGCCAGAGATCCAGCCACGGGATCCCAATCAAGTATCCAGGTATCCGGCGCTGGACAACTGTTTAATTATAGCAAAATATTTGCGCAGGCAAATCAATTAAGGCCCACCGAATGACAGGCCCCAGGCCAGGCTTCCAGACCGTAAATGAGAATTGCAGAAATATGAGTTGGCCAAGAAAAGCAATCTCATCGAAACGGGAGTCTGGGAAAATGCAACGATTGTTTTATGGCCTTTTATTGTACATTTTAATTGCCACATATTCATGGCACATTTATAATTTGGCCACTTGCCATAAAGATATCAGCCTTTACTAATTGATTTTCCCATTATTTTCCTGTGCTAGATCGTTTGATAGTCTTAAAGTGGGTTTATGTTTTAAACTTGATGGTTAAACATCACCAGAATCTGGTTCAGAGAACAGATAAAGAGGCACTCGAGTCGGTACAACAATCATCTCGCAGCTCACATCAACCATCTAGCTTCTTTCCTGGGTAACACAACCATTAGAAGATGTCTAGAGCGAAGACATCCTGTCTATGGATTGGTAGATGAATAAACGGAAACATCACCGCGGCTAGTGAACCCTATTGATAAGAAGTATTGGGAAACTTACTTATTGATATCCAAAATATCTGAAAAGCAATCTGAGAAGGGTGAAAACTGAAAAACTTGAGAACCAAGAACCAAGATCATATTCCCATTGCCCTGACATGTTATACTCCATCAATAATATCTACTTTTCTGATTCTATCTATTTATAATTCACAAATAACACCCCAAAACTATCAAAATAAACCGAAACTGAATATCACTTAATATTTAAGAAAAACTACCAAAAGTCGCCCCGGTCTCCAGTTCGAGTTCCAAATTCAGCACCAGGTCGTAATCCTTCGCCATAGCCCTGACTAATGCCATTGTAGGCACAGAAGGCCTCTCCATCGTTTAAGCAGGGCTCCCGGAACTGAGGATAGTAGTTAGGCATGGGGCAGCTCATCATACGGAAGTCGCCCATGCCCATCCGCTGGTAACAACTCGGGTTCGGATGGGGTTGAGAATGAGGATGAGGATGAGGATGGTGATGGTGATGGTGATGCTCATGCTGATGCTGCTGCTGCTGATGATGATGATGCTGGCTAGGCTGGGGAAGCTGCTGCTGATAACCGGTGGCATTGGGATTCATCATATCCCCTATTTGAGGATAGACGGGCGATGTCACCGGCTGACCGTCCCAGAAGGAAAGCCCGTTCCACACCATAGTGCTAATTCAAATTTGTTTTGGAAATTTTAAATTTTAAATATTAAATTTTGAATTTTAAATTTTAAATTTTAAATTTTAAATTTTAATTTTTTTTTTTTTTTATTTTTAATTTTTTTTGGAATTTTGAACTGCCTAACGATCTGAATGGTATCGAGGCTGGATTTCAACTGACTCCAGCTCTCTCCCAATCCAAGCACATCGACTGACACTGCCGGCAAAGGTCACTTTGGGGTAAAAAAAGAAGTAAATTGTCATTTTGATAGGCATAAACTGGCTTGCTCTGATTAGCTTGGCTGGTAAGAAAGTTTAAACAGATTTATTGAAAGACCCCCCTTCTTTTTATTCTTGCCCTGCTAATTTGTGTTTCTGGGCTCATAAAGAGATTGGCAGTAAAGAAAGAGAAAAATCGCGAAAAGCAATGAAACATTTTTATGATGGATGCATTTCCTTTATGGCCGGCAACTTGAAACAAAACGATTAAGCTCAGTATCGGGCCATTAAGCAAAGTGGCGTTGTAAAGGGCCAAACGGATTCCACAATACCAATCCCTGTCCCCCTTTTCAGTCGGAGTAGCCATTGCAGTTCCTGAAAAATGTCCCAACTGCCAGCCAAATCTTTCGACATTTCGCAGGAAACAGTGGACCTTTGCCAGGACTCCGCCCAGGGGAGCAATCCGCTCGCTGCCTGGTCAAACTTTTCTAGTGTCAGCTCCGGTCCAGGCCGCAGGCCACAAACAAACACATGCCTAATGAAGCGCACCCCGAATGTGCCACTCCCTCTTTTATTTTTTTTTTTTTGCCTTGCGTTGCGTTGCGGCAGGTACAGTGGGGTGGGTCAGGAATGAAGACTTCTTCAGGTTATTTCACATTTTCCATTAGAAACGAGCATTAAATCTGAAGATCTAACAGTTTGATTTTCATTCCGCTTTTCCTTTTGTAAGTAAATCCAATTTAAATAGCCCCACTTGACGCCCTTTTTGGTTACACATGCATTAGGCGGAGTCGCCACTTTATGACTATATCTGTTGCAGCAATTTGCCGACCACTGTTGACCACTTTTGACCCTCTCCGCTTTTATTTTGGCCTTTTTTAGAAGGGAACCACCATCCATGTCCAGGGCCTGTCATCATGGCTGCCATTGTCGTTGCACTCGGAGTTGTTGTTGTTGCCAAGTTGGCAATACCCACTAATTTATGCGTATTCAAGTTTAAATTGGAAATGCGTGCTACGTGTGGGCCAGTTCCTGTGGGTCAATGAGTGGTTGTGGAAGGGGAATTGCACTCGGGAAATAAAATGAGCTACAAAGTTTAGAATTTTGTATAATTTTAAAACATTTACTTTAAAAAAAAGTTTTAAGTTTTTATAAAATGAATAAAATAAACAAATTTTAACTTTAACTTTTGGTTCAATATTAACTAGGAAATTTCCTTTAAAATTTTAACTTTAACAAGCTTTTTGAGTAAAACCCAAATCTTGTGTTTTTTAGTTAATATTTTGTTAAAATAAAGTTATTAACTAAAAGTGTTTTGGGAAAGTTATTAGCTTTTAGTTTAAAGATTCCTTTTTTGGCGTGTGCTTGCCCGAAGGCTGAAGTCGCCTCAAAACGTTGACGTTGACCAAATTGGGCATTTTGTTCAATGGTTAGTGGATGGGTTGAGTAGCAGGTGGGTGGGTGGTTGGTTGGCTGGGCTTTTGGGTAGATGGGTGGAGTGGCTGATGATGTGGTAGATTCTGCAATCACGCACTCACACAAGCTCACAGACAAGGCAGGGCCCAAATGCATTCCATGTTTATTGTATTGCATTTTGCTGTTCTCACTGTCGCCTTGACTACACCGAAATTAGTACTATATTTGATTTTTATTAATTTATATAATTAATTGTAAATCAAAAAAAAAGGCTACTTAAGAGAGGGATATCTCAAGAAGTATTAAAATTTTATATAATTTATTTTATATTTTTTACTTCGTAGTTTTTGTTAGAAAAAAAACATTAGTAAACTTTTTTCAGTGCATCGTTAGCATGCACGCACTAGTTTTGCCCACGTTTTTCCACACCCCGTTTGCCCGCCTACAATTTCCCACCATTTAAATGCAAATGCGCTGGACATGTCTCTGGATATCTCGCAGTGTTCCCGCTCTTTGTTCTGTCATATGTCTGCCCTTTGTTTTCTGTGTTGGCTTTTATTTTTATTTTCGTGGCTACATGCCACTGTCACTACACTTAGAGAAATATGTTAATAGATTTGCATAAGAATTATTCAGTTTATTAGAACTAGTAATTTTGTAGTTTTTCTTCATATTTAAACCAAACTCTCAACTTCATTAAGTTATTTAAAATAACTTTTATGATTCCCTTCTCTTGCCAGATCTCAACTATATTCCCAGTGCTAAGCTAGTTAAGGCTATTTTTCTCTGTTTTCCTTTGGTGCTACTTTATGCTCCGTCCCCCTCCCTCCTCCGTTTACCTCCCTTTTGGCCGTAATTACATAGCCTAATTGTTGCTGCTGCCATTGTTGCTTTTGCTGTTGGCAGTGTCCGTTACTAACAATAAGTGCTGCTGCCGCTGCTGCTGCTGCTGCCTTTCGGCCTGCATCGAAATGAGCCGAGTTAAGCACTTGAACTGCAATTTGCCAATGTTGCATGTGGCTTAACCCACACACGCCCTCACTGCATTTTAATTGTTGCCAGATTTTCACTTGCCAAACAATATATCAAGGTTATCAATTTGAGCCGCTTACTCCGGTTACCAGATGGAAATTCATTTTCAATTTACATCAATTAAAGGTAGTTTTCACAATTTCTAAAGAGCAGAAAGAGAAATTATAATGAATCTTAATTAAATATTCTATAATGGTAGTGTCAACATGGCGTATAAGTGATCAATACGAACTTATTAGTCATCCGCCATGTGGGTTACTTTGTAGAAACCATCAAATGTTATTAGTAAACATATCAGGGAATTTATATCTAAACAGCTGAGAAAGAAATAATGATCGTACTAAGTGAATGTTAATTAAATATCATATGTTAATTATATATTCTATAATAGTAGTGTCAACATGGCGTATGAGTGATCAAAACAAAGTTATTACTCATCCGCCATGTAAGCTAGTTTGTAGAAAGCATCAAAGGTTATTAGTAAACATATCAGGGAATTTATATCTAAAAAGCAGAGAGAGATATTATGATCGCACTAAGTGAATGTTAATTAAATATCATATAATAGTAGTACCAGCACGGCGTATGAGTGATCAATTCGGACTTATTACTCATACGCCATGAGGGATATTTTGTAGAAAACATCAAAGGTTATTAGTAAACATATAAGGAAATATATATCGGAAGAGCTGAGAGAGAAATCATGAAACGTGAATGTTAATGAAATATCGTATAATAGTGCTGACAACAAGGCGTATAAGTGATCAATACCAACTTATTACTCATCCGCCATGTGTGATATCAAACATTATTGGTAAACATATCAGGGAACTTATAAAGTTTGAAACTCTTCGGAAATAAGTTATACCATTCATTTGCCGTCAGGTTGATGAGGCCTTCCTCCCATTTACCCGAAACTTATTTATTTTTGTTAAGGCCTCAAAAATTGTTTTCCTTCCCGTCCACAATAAATAGCTGAAACTGTCAAACTGCTGTCGTTGCTGTAAAATGTTTAACATGAAATCCAAAACAAGCCCACAGCAACAAGGATATGGGAACAGCAACAACAACAACAACAGCAACCATACATATGACATATGAGTGCCGCTGTCAAACGTCGTTGGAGCAGGAAGATTTATGTGCCTCTAACCGAGGAGCAGCCAGCCACGTGTCCTGGGCCAAAATCATAATAATAAAAAAAAAAAAACATCACACACACACACACAGACTGAAAACAACAAATAAAAAAGTGGATAAAGAATGAAGGAGAGTTGGAAGGATAATTGGATCAGTTTCGCTTTTGCCGATTCGCCAGGAAAGCGCTAATGAAAGCTCCGAAAGGGGCGAAAGTGTTAAGATTTTGAGCGAGAACTTGTGTTTCCCTCGTCCTGTTATTGTTCCTGCCAAATGGGCGACACATGGTGCTGCTGGGTGATTGATGCGATATATCCTTTGACAGGCTCGCACTCGCATTCGCACTCGTATCCAAATCCATTCGCTCTCCCCTCAACTTCATCAATGCGACAATGTCCTGACAGTTGCTACGACAGTCGCAAGTGCAAGACAAACAAGCTGCACTTCTCGCACAACTGCGTCACCCCGCCTACTTTTCCTGCTCCTCCCCTCCATCACAGCCCACAGATTTTCACCACACGCATGAGAAACATATGCAAATGCAGGCCACTGTAGTCAACAGGTCATTGCTAATAGCTTAAAAATCTATTTACATTTTGTTTAAAATATATTATTTTAAATTCATTTTCTTAGCTTTTTATGTTAGTTAAAAAGTTGTAAACCATAAAAAATAATTACAATTTCCCAAACTATATATTTCCTACCACTGTACATGCATCGAAGGAACGAGATTCTGGCCGGGATGTGGGCAAACATGTGCGCCCTGTCAATATGCCAAGAACCGAATGCAGCTGGGAAAATAAAAAGGATTCTCCTACCAATCTCCATCAGCCGCATAGCTTCAGCATTCCATGCCGCACTGGGACCCGGACAGCTGGACACTAGCTCCTCCCTATCGAGGAGCATCTTCCGAACGACCAAAGTCATATTTCAGCCATCTGCAATCTCAACATTTTCGCAGCCAATTTCCAGAAATTGAATGTTCAAGCGGGCCTGTTCAGTGGGCATAAATTTGCGGCTCCACCGGCAATCAAAACAGGCTCTAAACCAGGACCTGCTGTTGGCTTTGATTAATAGTCCGGCCCATAAATCCAGCGAATGTAGGGGCAGCAGGGGGAGGCGGTGAGCTCAGGTAAGTAACTTGCATAAGTTAGCCGCACGGCCAACGGTCAACGGGTCGGCTACTTGTTATGGCCGCACGCTAATGAGAGGAAAGTGCTGTGGCGCGGTGGAAGAATGGCAAAAATGGAAAAATGGGAAAATGGAAAAACGGAAAATTCGAGCAAGGGAGGCTGTCCGGTTTCCGCTTCCCAGGGACAGGATGTCTGTCATGTCAGTGGAGCGGCGGCGGTTGTCATTTTTCAGACTTTGCCCGCCAAGCGAAAAAAAAACAAATGACACTAATAAGTTGAGCGTGGCCAAAACAGCGGG